GGAGCATCATATGTGCGTGGAGCACGACCCGAGCCGCTGTCATCCGAGCTTCGTTCGCCAGCGCCAGGCACGCGAGTCCACGGCGCCGACATGGTGATTATGTGGTTGTGGTAGCTTCGATCTAGTTGGCGAACGGTGATAGAGATGCGCTTTGGTCTCTTGAAGAATCTGTGCGCGTGTATCGAGCCTTTGTATGGTTTCCCGTCTCGGCCAAGACGACGGAACAAAAGCAGATGAGTTGATAAAATCGAGTCTAGTGGAGATGTGTATGTCGACAGATCAGGCTGATGATGGTGTGGAAGGAAGAAATCGTCGAAATCGAGCTAGAAGTGTTCTGGTGCTTCACGGCCTGGGTCTAGGGGAATGCCACTGCGCTGTTTTGACGTGAGTTTGTGTGTGTGTGTGTCTCAGGGACGCAACTGTAGCGTGAACTGACAGGACGAAGGCGCAGTATGTTCAGATACTGTAGTGTGAGCTGCTTGCTGTCCGTGCTTGCCCTGTCGTTTTCCTGCACCACGGCTTGTGCGCAGCGGACTTCCCCCCTTTGGCTGAGCTTCCACTGCTGGCATGTCACACGGTCAGGGGCCGCTCGGGCAGAAACAGGGCCTGCCGCCGTTCCAAGACCTTAAAATTTGAATTTATCCTCGAAAGGGAAAAAAACAAGTTTGGGTGTGATGACACGCTACATAAACTCGCAGCTTCGTGGCAGGTGGCCGACAGCTCGCACATCTTGCAACGGTGCGCGTGTCGGGCAGCGGCCGTCGGCAAGTGTTGGATTCGAACCTTTTCTTCAGGCAGAAACTCGGCTGGTCACGCATGATCGTCCGACTGAAGGATCGTGTTGCTCTCAGTTGTTCCGGCGACTCTCCGTCATGCGTGCCGTACCCCCCTTTTTGCTTCTTCTCGCAGCGCGAACTTGGCCGGTTTGCCCTCACCCCAGTTTCCTTAGTTCTTTGGCCTGTCTGTCTCTCGCGCCTGCAGATTCGCCCATCAGTGTCAAAGACGCCGACATTGCCCAGTGGCGCTGCTCATGCAGCTGTTTGCAACCTCTTCGAGCAAGGAGTAGCAACGGGCCTGATAACGGTGACATCTGTCAACGGCATACAATTCTTTCGACGGCCCGTCCGAAGCTCTGAGGTGGAAGAGAAATGTACATACGATCGTGGGCGACGCTGACCAGACCATCGCTTTTCTCGCTGCTCCGTGTGATGAGTCGTGAGAAGAAGTCAGGACGACGCATTCGGGTCCAAACCAGCCAGGCGAAAAATGACGACAGGGGCGTAGAGTAGCTGTTGCCAGGTTCGCAAAGAAGATTTGGGTGACGGTGCTTGCTGATCAAACCACTGTACCTGGAAAT